ACGGTATGTTCTTGATTAATATATTATGCACATTATCGGTGTAATATCTCCTACAGACTTTATGTCAAAGCTTTTGTTGGTTTAGCATTATCCAGAACTTCTATCTACGCATTCTGCTTAAAAAAGTTCACTGCTATACTTACCAAACATAACCGCGATTCCGTCGGGCATAAAGTCATGCCAAGTCATTATCACGTGCCTAACACCACCTAAATCACGTGCTAACTGTTGTGTAATGTGTACTTATTCTCCAAAAAAATTATCGAAAATAAATACAAAGAAAAATCATGAACAGCCGGAAGAGAGACAAGCCCTACTTCTCCAGGCACGCGCCTTACTCTTTCCCAAAACGCCGTCGTCCTCTTCCCGCCTCCACCGATGATACAGTTGATGCTTCTTCCAACACGGCCTCGAAGAAGGAGCCGAAGACTGTGGTGGTGATAGGGTTGCCGATTGAGTGCTCGGTGCTAGACCTCAAGTCGAGGTTCGAAATATACGGACCCATATCTCGCACCCGTATGGAACCGAATGGAGTGGCTTACATCACTTTCCGGTCCAACGACGCCGCACAATCTGCTGTAGATGCTGCCCGTGACCCGGATTTTCCGATTAGCCTCCATTCTGCATTAGTATGTGCTCTCTCTCTCTCTAGCTAATTGCCTGTATGTATATCTCCGAATAGATGAATTTTGGGCTGGGTTTGTGTTTGAATTGAACTATGGTTGCTTGCCTGAGCCCGTAATTGTTACTCATATAGACTGCCGTTGTTCATTGCTGTACTGCATTGGACGCATCTGATTAAAATTGGCTGGGGAATCATGAATCTTGTTGCTTGACGATTTTTGGGGGGCAGTTACAGCTACGTCGAATTTGAGCACACACATTCCCACGCCAAGCAAAAGAAGTGTTTCTTTCTCATTTTCTTTGTTACGGATGGCGGAGAGGTTACAATTTTATGCCTGTATCACAAAGAATTGATTCAAATCCAAAATCTTTTTGCCTCATTTTATTGGAAAGATATGTTTTAAGATTATGAACTAGTACGTAGCTATTGAAATCTTTGTTTCTATTACTCTATGTGAAGGTGCAGGTGATGTGGGCAAGTGATCCAGTGCCTCAATGGCGAGAAGGAGTGGAGCGAAAGGAAGGAATTTCATCAAAGCTAGTGAGGGCTCAGGCTCCACTGAGTAGACATGGACGTGGCAATAAGTTAGGATCAGCAATTGTGAACCCTAGAGAAGAGAATGTTGACAGCGCTAAAAGTAAGGACAATGAAGATAATAACGTCGTTGTAGGTAACTCGAGGTCAGATGGGGCTTTCAATGGTAGGGAAATTGTTGCCTATGATGATATTTTGTAATTTAGAAATAAGTTTATCGAGGGGTTCATCTCTTAAATGTAACACTACAAACCAGGTATTTGAAGTTTATTTGTTAAGGTTGTGATAGGTTATGCCTTTCGAGGAGATATAGTCGGTGTGTATGTGTTCTTAATTTATGATTTTTACGATATCTCTTTTTAAGCTTCTGTTTTCTTTTCTTTTCTTTAATTTGACAATTAAGATATTGATTGCGTCAAAAAAATTTCTCCAGTTAAGAAATGAGAATGTACCTTAATGTATTCTATTTTGGATTTTTGTGCTTGTTGGTTATTAACTTATTATAATTTAAAGGCCAAAGTGAAAGTCGGGCTTTAATTTTAGTTATACATTTCGTAGGATCAATTTATGATATCAGCAACCTATAAATTCTCTCAAACTAGCATTTAGAGCGTGTTCGGTAGAGATTAAAATCGAATTAAAATTGAAAAATTAGCCGTTATTGTTGACTTTTATTAGACGGGGTGGGACCCAATAACGGCTATATTGTCAATTTTAATTGGATTTTAAGTCCTACCAAACATGCTCTTAGTCTTTTTGTTTACATCCTAAAGGAGTGTGGTGTGCAACTTGACATAGTTGGAAGGTTTTATGCATTTTAAATTTGCTTGAGTTGATATCAAGTCATTGTGTTCGCCAAATAAGAAGTGAGTTCAGCATTAGTTCTTTGGCCTCATCGCCTTCATATGTATCAATATAGGTTCATTGCCCATTTGCAGATACATGATACATTTGGAGCCAGGGCTTGCAATCTTGCCTTGATGTTGTTTCTTGCTGCAGTCGTTAACTGAGATTCACAGGTAATTTTTTAGTAGCTTCTATAAGAGGAGGGGGGGTCTCTGTTGTGTCCACTGGTAGACTTGCTTAAATTTTGATATGTATGTTGTTAACACTGTAAATTCCCCGGAAATATTTAGTTTGAGCGGCATCAATATAGAATATTGTGCATCTTGCAAGCAACTTAGAGGTTTATTCATGTTCTGTTTCTTAAAGCCTCTTTATGATCCAGCTTTTAGTTTATGCTGTACTCGGATTGACAAATTTATCGATTTATAACTGTGCAGATTATATCTAGAGTCTACTATCGTAAAAAAATTGGAGATGTAATTATATTTTTGCGCTGTCTAGCCACATAAGAGAGGAAAATTTCGTTTGATTTTCCTCGTGGAGTTCTATCGAGATTGTCTGCAGAAAGCTCGGGAGGTTGAAATTCCCGGTTCTGTTGCTATTTTACAATGTGTCGATGAGGGTGAATCAATTATTGACGAGAAAAAAAAAATATTTTATTGCATCTTTCGCGGGGATGTAAGGTCAAGCCCCCTCCTAAGTTTGTATTTTGTTTTTATAAACAAAAACAAGAAGTGCGCAAACGAGATACCCAACAACAAAGAAGCATCCATACCATTAAAAACAAAGAATAATATACAGACCAAACGGGAGTTTGGTTTAATTATAACAATTGATACATAACAGCCAATGAACATAATACAAAGAACAGAAATAGGGTGATGTCAAAAAAAATTTCAATCAGTAAAATACATAATGCAAACTAAGGGTCTGTAAAATGATCATCCTACTCGTACTGCTGCCTGCATAACTTTGTGCCTTCATGTGATAATAAGAAGGTTGTTTTCATATTCATTATTGTGGACAATGGGGCGTAGAGGATCAACTCTCCATACGCCATCAACAATAAACTTGATCTGTCAAATATTATAGGAGGCGTTTAAACATGCACGATTCAATGGACAACTTGTAAAACATTGTCGATGCCTGGAAATCAACTTACCTCGTATTTACCCGGATACAGCTTTAGGCACACCGAGAAGATGCCTGTCCCTGATTTCTCCATCTTTCTCTGCAATTCGAAGAAGCATATCACATTACTAATCAAGAATGCATACGATCAAATCATTGGTAAAAAAGGAAAACATTGGATAGTAAAATCAGTGCCAAAATTTTAAGCTGTTAGCTGAAATAAAATGTCTCAATAATCAGAACCGAGTGAAGTGTATTTTTGGTCAAAGTCTTTTGACCCGGCATTGAGTGCCCGTCATACTCTATTTTGTACAGTTTTTATTTAACTTAGCCCATGTTTAGCTACTGTTTATTAACTATTTATAATCGATCAAACTATTTTTTATCTACATATTTTATGAAATCTATAAGTACGGTCCACTTATCCACTTCTTTATGAAATCTACAAGTACTGTCCACTTATCCACTTCTATCTGTTTATAATTTAAACCGTTTATAAACAACTCCCTAACATTCTTATAAATAGGTTTAGTTTATCGGTAACAACCAATGTCCATACAACAAAATCAAAGAACAAGCTATGCCTTGTTCCTAATTAAAAAGGAGTTAGCGAATGAATCATTTTCCCGTACTTTAAATCTAACACTGCATCTAATGAAATGGAACCAAGCCTTCCATAATATATCGACAATAGTTGCCAAGATATAGCAAGTGACATGCTGCAAGCACCAGGATTAGTTTCGAATAAAAAACATGAGAAATAGGGACAAATAAAGCTTGAACAACCTAAAGAAAGCTCAACTTGGCCTTGCTCATTTACATCCCTACTGTTCAGTTTTTGTTTTATATGCTTCCACATGAATCTATAGCTTATGTAACATATTTTCACAAAACAAAGACAAAACAGTTGAATTCGGTATAGTATTACTACAGGAAACAAAATTTATCCTAAATTGCTTTTCATATCTTATTGACTCTTATATGGTGACACATCTACCTTGATATCCTTATTTCCTCTACATTCATCTTATGCATATTGTCATTTAACAGCTCAACAATCAGTATCATAAAAAATAGCTTGCCCCTTTTAGCTGTGCGTTTATTTCCCATCACATAATATGTGGTAATCTTATTCATTACAACTGTTGAGGACCTCTTCATTGTTGATAATCGAACATAAATACCTAAAAAATTTACCTGACATCATGATCCCCCATATTGACCCTACTACAATTGTTATTTCTATTATTACAGAATGGGTTCCTAAAGTTCAAACTTTTGATTTAAACCTTCCCAGACTATTCAGCTAAACTATGTTATCATAGATTAACATGCACCAACTAACCTCATCTCTGATGTGTCTTGTGAACTCATCTATGATCATAGCAAAAAGACAAGGAGTTAGGTATCTGTTAGCACGATGCTAAAGCTATATACAATTGTTGACTAATGGGAATACTACACTTGTGAATGTTCCATCACACATATCCATAATGATGTTGATATATCCAATTGAAATTCATATATATATATATATATATATATAGTGGAAAAACCTATCATAGTCTTTTTTTCTAAATCAATAGAATTAAAAATCTTATTTCTTTTATCTCTACTTCTCCATCAATTCATGCAGTAGGAAAATGACTTTCAAGGTAGATCTCCTGGTCAGTCAACCAAATTTTTTTTCCCCAAGACCTTGAACTTTCACCTTAATCTATGTTCAATCACCCTCTTTCATAATTTCATAGTATGAATAGTGATCTTAGAACCTCCGTAATTCATACAATCTCAAAGATCCCCTTCATTCTTAAAAAACAAGCACCGTATTTTTCCTGTTCATCTTGAAATTTTAACAAGTTCATATAGCAAAATTCCAATCACCTATGAAAGCATTTAATGTGGGAAAAACTAAGTTAATATAGCAAGTAAACAGAGTATACAAAAGAGAAAGATAACTTCCTATTTCCCACTAAACATTGTAGAAGAAGCTATAACCTTAGTTGTCCAACCATCGAAAGAACCTGTTAAGAGAACCTCTGAAGCTGAATTAGGCCAAACTATGCAGGCAGTACGAATAAGTTGCAAAGCTTTATGGGCGCCATCGATCCTCTTCTGCTTCTCTTCCACTATCCTCTGTGCATCACTGCAAAAGAATGATTGGGATGTGATAAGTGCTAATTAAAAAAACTAGGAAGTAGAAATTATCAACTGAATTAGATCAACTACATTATTGCTAATGCCATTTTCCCCTCTAATACAGCAAGTTTTGCTCGTATTGACCGCAATCTCTCCTGGGCATTCATGTGCTCGTTCTCTTGGAACTCCCATGCATCTGAAAGGTTTTGCAAACTACTGGAGGAGCTTTCACTAACCTGAATAAGAAATTAGTCATGGATTGAACAACAGCCCATAAAAACCTTTTCCAGAGGAATGAAAGAAGGTAATTGTTATTGTTTAATTGTAAAATGCATGTTAAGATAAATAGCCATTTATATTCTTCCATGTGAAACATGTAAAATCAACCCAACAACAATTAGCTCACACATTCATTTCCTTTTCTATTCTAGATTAAGCCCCTGTATGGTGAAGATTAAAATTAGTTTTTTTGTAGATTTTGGTAAAAGTTTCTAAAATGTGTGATTAAAAAGTTATGGGACCATAAATTATGTAGTTAATATTAATTGTTTGACTTTGACTTAGATTAAAATCTGATTTAAAAATCAATACAAAACAGGGGCTAAATATAGTAACTTATGTACACGAAAAGCTTTGACTGCAGTATTTTTATTTATTCCCATTGTTTATAATGAATGTACAAAACCTATGGAATCCACTGTAACAGGGTAAAAAGAATTATGCATGAGTAATAAGCACACCTCGTTTAATACGTACTCCTCTCTTTTAGACCTCAAGGAATGAAGAGCTGTGTTAAGCTCACATTCGAGGTGCTGAAGACGAGTTCGTATCTGATTGTGATTGATATCACATCTATCCAGAGCAGGGATATTCTCTATACTTGCAGTTATACCATTGTTTACAGCTTCTTTATTTTGTACCACTTGATTTTTGCTGTATGAAACCTCAGCGGCTGCACATTTCGGGACTTCAAGATAATGACAAACCAGAGTAGTGAAAAATCTCCTATAAATACAACTAGAATATAAATCAAGTACCTTCAAATTTGGTATCTTGGAAGCCTTCCTGAATGTTCCGAGGTCTCCATGTTTCTGGCTGAATATTGGAGGTGATCTTTCCTCCTGATGCTGAATTATTCATTACAGCATCAGCGCTGTCTTTTACAATTACAGAAAACACCATGTCTCAAGCTTTAGAATTAAGGAACACAAACTAAATAAAGACCATTTGATCATCAACATCAATAATAATAGTGACACTTTAAAAAAACAATAAAAAACCTTCTTTTTGAGGTACAAAAGCCATGTGATCCAATTAGCATACAGAACATAAAATCAATTCATTACCAATTCAACAAAACCAACTTACCTACATCTATAGGTATTCGGAAACGCCAACCATCCCTTTCATCTTTACTCGAGGAATGAGTTTGAGATCCATATTTGCCTAAATTAATTCCAAAATCAGTATTCCTCTGCTGCTCTAGTCTACTCAATATACCCTCAATTCCAGTGTCTTCCTCTGCCCCAATTTCACTGAGCCAATAAAGAAAAATTTCTCCATAAGCGGACTTCCTAAAACAATTAATATACACAAAAATGTTGCTGATGAAAATATAAAATGTTGGATATTGTTCAATCAGCTATATTTTTGTTTACTCGTGTCCCAATACCTAGCATAGTATTTAACATCTGGTTGGAAAACAAAAATTCTTAAAGTGATGTCAATACATCCAAAAGAACATAAAGATTTCTGTATTCTTCTTTTCATCTGTTGACTGAATAATCTTCAACAGATGTGGTATTGAAATAGCAAAAAATAAATAAATAAATAAGCGAAGGACAATAGAGGTCAATTCAATATCTGGAAAAAAAACAAAGACAAGTCAAGAAATCCAATATTTTACTAAATTTCAAATAGAAATTCAGTTCAAGCTTCCCCAGCCCCACCGTGAGACCGCCCGAGGCAGAGGGAAAATCGTAAGTGAAGCATATATCCAGAAAGTTTGAAGGTTAAAAATCTCACGGTGATCTGCCCGAGGACGAAGCCAGCTGCAAAGAATTCGAATCTCCAGAAGATAGTCTCTCTTCACTTTCAACCAAAGAATCCCCAGAAAAAGAATTGACATCATTTTCTCCCACAGCAGCAATCTCTTTACAACTCTCAACTCTCTTATGAAACTCTCCAATGTCAAAATCCATAGCTTCTTTTACATCCACCCGCAAATTTTTCTCATCCTCATCCTCATCCTCATCCTCCCAACCAAGTGAATACCACCCACCTCTCTTCTTTATTGCCTTCACCAAATCCATTCTACCAGCTCTTACCAACTCTGCCTTCGTCGGAAACATCGTTGGTTTCTCAGATTTCTCCATAAACTCCATTATTTCCTCCTCCAATTCTATGTCACCTTCACTCTGTTTACACCTACAAGTACAACACCAAGAATTATAATTATTATTCTCAAAACTCCTCGCCCTTTTCACTTCAAGAACCCCATACGAACGGCTAAAGATCGCAGCTGTTTTATAATTTCGAGCCCCTTTTTTGGCATCAAGTATAAAAACTAGAGAAGGGACCGGTGGATTATTCAAGTGAAATAAGGGGTTGTGGAATTTGGATATGTGAGAATGGATTGTAAGGAGAGTAACCATCGTTCAGCATTTCGTCGAACACTTGGAAGTGGGTTTTCTGCTCTTAATTATTTGGGTAATAAATGACCGTTAAAGATGAACTGTACAGGTGCAAGAAAGCGGAGGAGAGAGCTGAAAACTGAAGCAACGAACAATATTACCTTTCCTGAAGCGATGAACAATACTGTACCGAAAAGCGTAGCAGGCTTATAAATGTAAACATATGCCCCCTGTTTGTTTGGATCTGATTAGATTTTCAGTACATATTAATAAAAGTTATGAATTTGTTGGAAAGTTGTGGAGCTAATAAAATGTGGTTAAAATTAAAAGTATTGTTATTCATTTCCACTGAGGTTGAACTCCAATCTATGTGACAATTAGATGATATTAAATGATATATTCAATTAAATATAAAGTCAAATGACTCATTTAATGAAATCAATAATTTAATGTCATGTAATTGCCACATAAATTGAGGCTCAATTTCAGTGGGGATGAATAGTATTATTCTAAAATTAATTATTGACTTTAATCTAACTTAAAATCGGAATTTTAATCGCTACCAAATATGAGCACAGTTTTGGATAGTATTTTCGAAGGATATATGGTTGAAAATGATGGAAAAGTTATGAGTTTACGTATAAAATATTTTATTGTGTGAATATCTAATTGAAAATTATACTGTAATAAAAAATAAATTAAATTAAATTAAAAGTTGTCAAACATGGAAGGAATGTTCTTTTTTTTTTTTTGCTTAAGAACTGTACCGAGGTTTCCAATTTTATAGATTAGGACACTGGATAAAAAGGTCTTTTATGTCCGTTGAATTGGGGATAAAACAAAATTGGAGTTCGACAAGAGGACATATATCCAAGTAAAAGATCTACTAAACTCAACGCCTACGTGCCCTAAATTATTGCTTTTGGAAATGGAGCCAACCTCAGGTGGGAAGTATTTTACATGAGGAGCCCATGTGTAGGAGTTTAGCCCCGGTTTCAACTCCATTAAACGTACATTTTGATCATCATTATTTGAAATTTTTTTCCATATACTTATTTTTAACTTCACATTCATACAATAAAATATTTTACACGTAAACTCAAAACTTTTTCCTACATTTTAATCAAGTAGTCTTCTAAAAATTACTATTCAAAATATTATTTTTTTCAAAATAATGGTTGTCAAACAGGGACTAAAATGAAATTTTTTGAAAAAAGTGTTTTGAAATGATATTTTTGGAGAATACGTGATTAAAAAATAAGAAAAAAATTGAATTTACGTGTAATATTATTTTGTGAAAAGATGCGGTTGAAAATGAGTTTTGAAAAAAATATATTTTTGAAAAAATGGAGGGCTAAATATTTCAATAATCACCCAACTTATACTATGATCACTACTTAGTCACCAAATTTCAAAATGCTTCACACAATGTCTATTGAATTTATCCGTTTGCACTTCGTCCATTATTTGTCAGATTCATTTTCCCTCATTGTTGGCGTATCAAAGCAAAAATCCCATACAAGAAGTTATTGTCGTTTAAAAAATTAAAACTTAACAAAATCAATGTTCCATTACTCACTCAACTTATACTATAATCATGGTTTACTCATCAAATTTCAAATTGCTTCATAATGGTTACCCATTTTTGAGACATTGCTCTTTATCTATCGTTTGTCATATTTCGTTTAACTCGTTGTGACGTGTCAACGAAAAACCCGCATAGCATATTACAAGCATAAAAAACTGACGACTAAGCCAAACCATTTGTTTCATTACTAACCTAATTTATGTTATGGTCACGGTTTACTCAACAAATTTCAAACTGCTTCCAGTGGTCACTCTTATTTCAAGACGTTTTTCGATCATATTAACATATCTTTAATAAGCTTGTACCTGGAATGCGGTCTCAGGTTGACCCAAGCAAAAAATGTGTGTGAACATTTTCTTGTTGACTTTTCTCAAGGTTTAAACACGAGATGTAATAATGTAAATGCCATTGAGTTGTGTCTTTCTTAACATAAAAATATGTGTATACATTGGATTTACATTAAGGGTTCATTTGATTGTAATGGTGAAAAATTGATGGAAAAGAAAACGAATTTCAAGGAAAGTAATTGTCTAGAACTTGTTTTGTAGGGAATTGTTAATTAAATGTGTTTAATTGATATAATATTCCACGTTTGACTTTATTTTATATGGAAATTTTCCATTAAAGTGAATTTTTTTTTTT